ATATATATATGTATATGTGTATATATATATATGTATATGTGTATATATATATATAAACCAAACCTGTTGCCATCGAGTTGATTCTGACTCACAGCAACCCTATAGGACTGTCCCATAGGGTTTCCAAGGAGCTGCTGGTAGATTTGAATGGCTGACTTTTCGGTTAGCAGCCATAGCTTTTAACCACTTCACCACTAGGGCTCTCTGTCTTGCTCTCTCTTTATATACAATAAAACCTGTGAAAGCGGGAACCTGTGAAAGGCAGAAACCTGTCAGAAGGAACACTCAAATATTTTCCACTAAAACGAGTGATACAAAAGTAGTAAGATAACACCATATCAAACGCAGAAAACTTGGTAGACCCTGAAACACAAGGCAGTATCGTTGAGTTCCGGCTCACACAGGTTTCACTGTATATGTGTATACACTTATAGTAAAGGGAATTTATATTTAAATATTATGTTTAAAAAAATATAGTATTTGAAGTCACCTTAGGGGTTACCTCCTCTTTCCCACCTCCCCAATGCCTCATTTTATAAATGAAGAATCTGAACCTCAGAGGAAGAGAAAAAAGAGTTATGAGATGGGCCATGAACTAAGGCTTCTGGGTCTTGCCATTTTGCAGTGCTGGTTCCCATCTTCACACCCTGAAACAATAACCCTATACATACACACTTCTTTAGCCTTCAGTTAAGACGGGGACATTACATTAAAGAATGAGAACTGAGTAAAACGATTGCCTATTTTATTTAGAAACTGCCAGCTTTGTCACTTAACTGATGACTTACACTGCACAATTCTCTCCTTAGTTTGACATGTATGCAAACTCTACATTAGCTCTGAATTGAGTAGAGTACATCAATGCTAGTTTTTTCCAGTGATACAGTTCTTTGGCTCTCTGTCTTGGTTGGCATGGATAGGTGGCTGTGGGCATGTACTTTAATGTACCAAAATATTCTATACGACTCATAACACAGAAAAACAAACCGCATGGTGTCTCTTTGTTAAATTCTTGTTTCCTTTCCAGTACTCCACAGTTAATTCTTAGGAAAAGTTACACTCCTGCTGGAGCAGATGCCTATGAACAGGAAAGTGAATGGCAAGAGAAGATCCATGAGTGAAGCAGTGAGCTAGCTAGCAAAGTGAGTTGCATTAACAAGTCAGTAAAATTATCCAGGAGCCAAAAAATGTAAGGCTGGGGACAGGATTCTGGTAAAGCCAAAGACTGAAATTACTTAAACAGAAATATGAAACCTAACTCTAGCACCTATCTCTAATATTGGTGGAGGTTTTGAATGAAATCAAATAAACTCTGCAAAGGTAGCCCGATGGACTATCATTTTTTCGTGTTTGTAAAGGAGAAAGTTTCTCATGATCTGATAGTTTGAATGGAAATCTTTGCTAAACACTAGCTGATTAAAAAAAAAAAAAGCCCTTGCTAAGTTACTAAATCCAGATGATATCCAGTATTAAACTGACTAATTATTTTCCAATCATAGTATATAGCCATAAAATGTCTTACTCAAAAAATATAAAAGCTAAAAGCAGGGAGATACTTTCTTCATTTACTATATCCATAAAGATGCAGAAATGCCAATTACATTTTTGTTTCCAAGCATTCTGCAAGGAGCCCTCGGGGTGCAATGGTTAAGTGCACTTGGCTGCTAACTGAAAGGTTGGCTGTTCGAACTCACCCAGCAGCAGAAAGACCTGGTGTTCTGCTCCCATAAAGGTAACAGCCTAGAAAACCCCATGGGGCAGCTCTACTCTGTCACATGGCGTTGCTCTGAGTTGAAGTCGACTGAATGGCACCTAACAACAACAATAGTCTGCAGAAACGACTCAAATGTACTACACGTCAACGATACCCAGCCGCTGAGTATGAAGATTTCTTTCTGATGTAAAAATAATAATAATAATAATAATCAAGAACTTCTCTGTGAGAATAACTGTACTGTTGAAATATTAATTGAATCAGAAATACATCGTGGCAAATAACTGCTTTGAATTTATCAATCAATATTTATCAACATTTTATTTGTGTTATATTTATGACAACAGCATCCATATGCATTTGAAAAATAATAGTAAATTGGTGGTGAAGCGTTTTACTTATTTGGTCCACTGACAGTTCTTGCTGGGTAGGTGGCTATTAGGACCCCTTACAATAACTCCACAGCTTTCAGGTTGGAACTATGGATATAATACATGTGTTTTATGGCAGGATGACTCAAGGAAGCCTAACATAAATCCTGCTGTACAAACCTCCTGCTCTGGGGTAACGTTCTGAGATTCTGTCTACCACATTTTCATAGTCTGAATAGACTGCTCTGCAAGCTTCCTGCATAAACCCCCTCAAAACAGGATGCTAACAATGGAAGATATTGATAATTTGGAGACAGACACACAACACCCTACAAAGCCAGCATTTTTGCTGGTCACTCTATCTCTAGTCTTCTTGTCTTTAACAAGGAGTGAACTTGCAGGAGGTTTTGGTGTTCCTTTTTATAAATGCTTCCGGAAAGCAATCAGCGCTCTCCTTTAACGGACTAGCCAGTGAATTTGAAGATTGAAGAAGCAACAAGAATATTTTTACACCACATAGAGAAAGAACACTGTTTTCTGATTAGCACTAATACACTGCAAGTGGGCAATCTGAGCCTCAGTTTCACAGTTGAGGAGCCTGTGCGTTTTAGCCAGCGGGAGAGAAGCAGATCATTTGATGGTGACTAAGGAAATCCCTGGGCAAGCTGGCACTTTCCCAGGCTTACAAACCTGAGTTCACCCACCCTTAAACCTCTTGCTTCCTAAAGGAGATACCATTACTTTGAACCAGCTCAGGAAGGTAACGCCTTGTAAGCTCAAACCTTCCCACCACTCCTCAGCGGCCCCAAGAAAGTCTTTGGTGGAAATTCCATCATGCCCTCTCTACATTCCACTTCATTTCCCTTAAAGCTACCTCACTCTTCCCTGCTTGTTGAGTGCCTGCAACTTTGCACAGCAGTCAGAGGCCAAAGCTCATTCTAGCAGGTGCCCTTCCAGAGCTATTGTCAGGAGCCTTACCTGGGTTTCCCCACTCACCTGCCTTGTGCAAGCAGCCAAGATGCGGTCCAAACTTCAGACTGTGCCAGCGTGGCCTGAGCCTCTATTTATGCTTCAGAGCACACCTCAATCCCACCCACTAATCTTGTATTTACATGTTGCTAACTCGGAAACTAACCTTCCTTTTTTCCCCAAATGGTTGTCTTCCCTGGGCTAACGAGTTCTTTGTTTTTAAAATTATGTTGCAAAAGGTATACTTTTCAGCATGCATGTTTTTAACTGTGTGTGAAAGTATATTGTAAAGAGATTTGAAATAGATAGGCAGAATGCCAAATCCAGGTAAGCTTTAAATGAAGACATTTGATTTGCCCAAAGGCTGATCTGTCTTTACCTGATTGGATGGGGTTTGTGTTTGTAGATTTTTTTCTCCCCCTTGGACAGATTGCCTTTATTTAGTTCAAAACCCTCAGGAGGTGATTCACAAATCTAACCCCTACAGTGATATTACCTACAATACTCCATTAGGGTAGAAATTATTTTCCATGGCATACTTCCCTCTTTCTGGCAAACAAAATGTATGCTCACAATAAGTATTAAAAAAAAAAAAAAATCTAGCACCACATAATATTCCAAAACTGAGGAAGTTATTGAAAAAAGGCATCCTAACACTATAAGCTTGTAATAATTACCATTGAATACATGCAGCAACTTCCTTCCAAAGACTTCAAAGACATTTATATTGTCTCATTTGATGGCAGACTTTCCTGTTAGGTTTGCAGGAAGCCCTCTACCTATTTTTCAGAACTAGAAACTAAGGTCTGCAACCAAGAGCATGCAATTAATCACTAAGGACTTTACGACTGGAGCTTGTATTTTCTCTGAGACTCCTGGAATTCTGTTTTGTTTATGAAGCTATATGAAATCCTTAACAGCTCAGAATCATGAAATCTTTGTCAACAGAAAATTAACTAATGAGATACAAGCCCTATAAAAGTAACTTTTTAAAATGAGTTAAGATTATAATATATCAAAACGTTTTGAAGTATCTTTTTTTTTTTTGATAGAGCCTTAAATTCTGTAGGCAAAATAGTGATTCTCCAAATATTGAATTTTCTTTCCACTCTACAGTGAGATAATTCCTTTAGGAATTTGACTAAAAACAAAGATTTGAGCTAAACTCTTAAAACTGGAATAGGCTATATATAGACGCTTAGTTTATTCAACCCTTAGATTTCTCAGTTCAACCCCTTCATTTTGCAGATGAAGAAAGGAAAATGTCAAAAAATTAAATGACTTGCCGAAGGTCCCATGACTAGTTTGGGGCAGAGTGGGGACCAAAGTCTGTGTCTCCT